AGGGATCCCTTTAAAGTAGTGAGGGGCGCATTTATAACAGTGTTTCTCATAATTTAATAGTTGCTGTCACTGATACAACTTCAAAAGGTTTTTTTGAAATAAATAAAATAAATATCTGTTTAAAACTGTCACCTCTCTGTGAGGTTGCAGGATTGTAAACTGGTCTGAGATTTTTCTGGGTGGAGTWGCTGTCTGTGCACAGGTGGGTTTTCTCCCACAGAAAAAAAAAAAGCACACAAAGGTAACTCTAAATTGTCCACAAGTGTGAGTGAGAGCGTGAATGGTTGTTTTGTCTCCATRTGTCCCTGTGATGGACTGGAGACATGTCTAGTATGCTCCCCACCTCTCTCACCCTGACTGCTGGACATGGACACTGGCAACCCAGAGAGGATGAGCAGGTAAAGTTAAAATGTGGATGTTTGCTTCATAAAGCTGCTCAGGTCTAAAATATTCGCTGACATTTCAATTCTGATGCGTAAATAAAGTCAAAGACCCCGTAACTTGTCTGTTATGTGTATGTTGCAACATTTACAAGTGTAATCCATATCTGTATTTAACTCCATATGGTTAAACACAACACACACTTTGAGTGTCAAAAACTGAGAAGTTAATRTAATGGGATGAGCAACGCAACATCCTCCACTCCCACGTATTTACTATGTACACCTCTCTGCTGATTATCTGCCCACGACTGACTCAGAGTACTTTAACCTGTTGTACTAGAATACCTCCAAGTACTACAATCAGTAGTCACTTGGACCCATAAAACCAGAGCTATTGTCATCATGGTGTGCGGACACCTGTCACCGGTCACAGCGCGGGTTTACCGGCGAAATGAAAGCGGCCTCGGTTCTTCTCAAATTCGCTACTAGCTTGAATAATACGGCTCTGTTTTGATAAGCTAGCTAGCTAATGCAATAAACGACTTGATGAAAACTATTGTTGCTCTGAACGCCTGACAGGTTTAGGTTTAGCGGCTACCATGCGCGTTGAATCAGCTCGGCATGGCGGTGGTTGTGTCCGTCACCACACATGCCACATTCAGGCAAGGCGGGGTGCCATTTCTGGTGCCGCCGCTTCCCAACTCCACAACCACCACAGCAGTACGTGATGGTTGTAATAGTTATTTTTATGGTGATTTTTTTTACAACATTGTTAGTTTGGTTTCTCYCTAAGGACAGTTATGTCGAGAACCGTAAGGTCGCCAGCCCGCTWCCACTGTGGACACAAGCTAACTAGCTGGCTAAACCTAGCCTAGCATGCTATGCTAATGACAGTGTAGCTACAATGTCATACCTACTTGGATAAAACCATTCAGTAGATGATATCTTCCGCACGCTCTCGTGTTAAAGTCAGACCATGTTGTCCCTTTACTCCATTGCAAGACTAGTCGTTTTCGCACACAGATGCGCTATTTTAAGGTTAAAACATTAAAGCTAAAGCCCGGCGGTAAGAAGCCAGCAACGGCTTCAGACACWGTGGCATGACCAGGCAGGAGAAAATGGGCTGCCTGTAACTACTGTTATTTCAAAGCGCCACTAACTAAACATTAATAACCCGTGACGATGGGGCTACGATGTGTATTTGGCTAAGTTTGTTACGTTACAGTGCGGTGAATACCACAGCTAATTCTTACTGAACGTAGGACATAATGATATAATGGAAATCAGGACGTAATGGTGTAATGGTAACTAACCTATTTTCAAAAAGCCATCAAACACTTCCACGTGTTTAGCAGAAGCAGACAGTCGTTCTCCAGCGTTGATTAAATGCAAACGCCTGCTCCCTTAGATTCGTTTCGCACCAACAGGAAGCCGCTGCTTTTGCCCGTTAAAACCAAACGTTGAGAGAAGCTTTAAACAACGAGGCCTCGAGAAGTTTGTCCGGCAGCCGCGAATCAGTCATAACAGCATTCACGTGCCCATCCCCCACCATGCCTCACTTTTGCTTGGCGAGTCACCACTCGCTGTGGATTACCGAAGCCCCGCCCCCCACCCTTTGCTCAGTCATTCAGACTGGGAAAGTCAACAACAAGCTTACATCATCACCGAAATCTGTAGTTTACCCTGATTTTCATATCTGCACACATCCTCCAGARTCATTTTATATAATCCAACCATTTCAGATTTAAAATACACCAAACAGTTGTTCTTGTGAAAAGGAAAAAAAGATCAAAATGTTTGCCTAAAAAYTTGAAATCTATAATCTGTGTTTCAGTGTAAATTCGAGACTCAGCATGCCTTGAAGAAATGCATATCGCCCGTCACCTTTTATGGAAGTGTTTTAGAGAAAACGTGCAGTCTCACACAATACTGCAGTATCTTGCATGATGTTTTAACACTTACAGTGTGTCTTGTTCATGACTGTCAGCAACTACCAAAACAAATTTAACCTAATATTTATTTAGGGATGCAACGATRTGAAAATTTCAGCYGATATCGATGTCCGATATAATTATTGCTATTATGGCCAATAACTGATATTTATTGATWTTGCACAACACACAAATTATATTATACTTGTATGCACAACTAYAYTTGGGTCTTTTCCYGATACCGTAAATAAACGACCAGACCTCTGACGTGCTACATCCTGCTTCAGTTATTCCTGGCTACGCAGCATCACTATCATGATCAAACAGATGCCGCTCAACCAACCATCTTCCCTCCCAAAACAAAAAAACAAAGCTAAAACGTGGGAAATCAATRTCGGATGTTAATATCGGCCCAGTTTTACATATTGGACCGATACAGGTATTCTAAAAAAATGACCAATATCGGCCGATTGTGATATTAATGCCAATATATCGTGCATAATATTTGTAAAAAATCATTGTGCTTTTGCCATTTTTGTGTGAGCTAAGCTCAGCTGTGACAACCATCTTAATTTGTGTTGACTCCAATAGAAAATCGGTCATATTTGCACATCTAATGATTAGTTTTTGAACGTTTCGATTAAATCTGTCCAGTGGTTCATTAGATATTTTGCTAACAGACAAACAGGGTAAACTCTAACAGTTTATGTCATTGTTTTAAGTAAATGCTCAGCTACAACCACACCAAACGTTAGCTCAGTATCTGTAAAATTGCCTGAGGTGTAGTCATTTCTGTGTCTGTAACTGCTGTGATGGCCGTCTGAAATGGGATCAACTCCAGATAAGAAGGTATTCAGCAGCAGATGTCAAGCTAGTGACTCGTTTTCAAAGGTTTTGTTAAATATGTCAAAATRTTTATGAAATATTTTGCTATCAGACAGATACATACTTCTCCTTCATCTTCAGCGGTGCGAGAAAATCATAGGTTTGATATCGTCAGGCAATGCAGAGGCATCATTATAAATGAACCCTTATATGTACTTCCTGTCTTATAACAGGTGTTGAGCAATGGGTGGTTGCACTCTATGTTCAGAACATTTTGCGGCTTGGTCTACCAGTGTGGGGTTGTTCTGTGTTGACTCTGCACAGGATGCCACTATAGAGAAAGTGGATGGTGGTCTTGTAGTGTTCTTGTGTTTCAAACACCTCCTGAACAGATTTTAACCAAACTCTCAGAAAGTAATAATTGGATACATCTACAACTGGTTAACAGTTTAAACACTAGAATGGTGTTAATTCAGTCATATTTACAGAAACTGAGCTAAAAAAACTGGTGCAGAAGTACCTGAGAGCCATTTAGACAGTGTGGAATCGAGGGTAACGTTCTGTAGTGACATCATTTCCCAACAAAAGATGACCTCAGTTTAAAGCCTTAGCACAAAAGACTTGTCTTTGTTTTGCTGCTTTTCTCCCACTGAACTATTTGGTCTTTACACTCAGTAATATCAAAGATCTTCAGACTGTTTTCCGTCCTCTCATATTGCGTGTGGAAGTGCTAAAGTTAGGGTGACTAAGGRTCCAGAGAATGTGTGGTTTCAGCGTCAGAGTGGGGGAGAAGAAAAGATCTGGGTTGTATTTTGACAAGTGGCAAAATTATGTGCAAAATCATGCCTAGCCTGTTTTAATTTGTCTCCATTTGTAAATTTCCCACATTCTGTCTGCTTGTCTGGTAGCCAAGAGAAACAGGAATATGTGCTCCATCACGCCCACTGTGTGAGGGGGTTTTGGCTGCCAGAGAAGAAATCTGAAGCACATTCCTCCTGCCTAATGCCAGACTTTACGCAACATATAATAACCACTCTTCAGACGAATGCAGTGAAGTGACTCTCCTCTTCTATGTAACTATAAACCTGACTCATCCCATCTTCAGCCATACCGTAGAGCAAATGTCTCCAAAGACACGTAGGCAAACTTCGGGGATATTTTTTTAAATTAAAGACCTGAAAATCCTTGAAGGAATACATATTAACCATCCATCTTGCATGACAAATTTTTAGTTCAAGATGGACGAATGACTCTGAGTGATTGTGGACTCTCGTTGACGTCCATTAAAGCTATGAAGAAAAATTGTGATTAAGAGCAACTCTGGTGTGGTTTAAAATTTATTTATTATTATTGATTTCTTACCAACCAAACTTGCTCTTTGGTTGTACAGGGACAGGATGGCTCTTAGTAGGGGGGCCGAAGAAGCCATACAGTGCCCCCCCCCCCCCCCCCCACACACACACACACATGACACCATGAGGGACACGACTGGAAGCCTCCTTCAAATCAACAAAACACGTGAAAACATGCACCCTCACATGTCCCTGCAACAGTAAAGAGTTGGTTCAGTGTTCCACAAACAGGATAAACAATTATTTWATGGACAGACTTTCCAGGCCACGTGTCAAACTCAAGACCTGCAGGTAATTTGTGTCTGGCCCGCCAATGAGCCAGCATTGACCATAAACTACATCTCCCATGATGCATGTTGATTATTTTACCCATGAAATGACGGCATCCCACCACTAGGTGGAGCTGCACAGTGTCGCTGACAAAATTCACAGTGTAAAAATGTACATTTAGCTGCATTTTTGTCTATTACTTTTGCTACAGCCCATTTGTACTACCTCACTTACAAGACCTACATTTAAACTGTGCGAATTCTGTCTAAAAGTGGGAGAGTTCAGAATTGAAGATGGCAGCTACTCACCGCAACTCAACAGAGTAAAACATACGTTTACTTTTAATAGTATATCTGCAATATTTAATTCACATTAAGTCAGTTGTACATGTCTGTAGGATGTGTTAAAACATTGTTTCTATGCAGGAAATACCACACAGAGCTCAGATATTGTTTCTTAGTGGTGCTCAGCTATACGAGACAAATGTTTCATGTTCTGTCTTAGTTAAACACGAAACAAGGAAGTTAATTACAACTGGCCCTTTGAGGGCCATTAACTCGTGAAAATGATTTTGACACCCCTGTTTTACAGAGACAGGATGACTTTTAGGGGGCCCAAAAAACAATACTCTCAGAGTACCCCCCCAATGAGGTATACCTCATTGGAGGGTACTCCATACCCATACATATACATGCACATACATATATATACCTCAGGTGTGTATATACCTCATTGGTACCCCACATAAGCCGCCATGAAGACCACGACTGGAAGCCTTCTTTAAGTCAGCAAAACACATGAAAAATGTTCCAGCAACCTAATGTGTCTCTGCAGAGCAGGGGTGGACAATTTTTTTTTTTCTGGGGGCCACATGGGATACTTGAGCTATGTTGAAGAGCCGAAACCAACAATAAATTATACTTAATTCTGCTTACTTTTTCACCCATTGTTAAAATCAGTATATTATATATTTTGATTAAATTTTAACATGGCAGTTTTCACAAATACAAAAACTGTTTTGCAACATGGTATCAAAATGATAAAAAAAATAGCAGTAAGTGCTTTTAAAGTGCCTGTGACATGAAATTTTTAAAATAAATATAAAGGCATTATTGGAAAGATAACATCAGTAACACAGTGCAAAAATAATTTCCCGCTGCTGAGATGAACAGTTATTGAGATATTTGCATTTGAAGTACCAGGAAGTGATGTCAAAGGGGAATGTCTGCTTGGTTTAGAGCAGAGGTGCCCAATGTGGGGCCCGTGGGCCAAAATTGACCCACCAAACCATTTGATTTGGCCCACCAACAGTTGTCCTGGTTATTAGATTGTAACTATGTTCAGATTGAATATAAAATTCAAGTAACTACAAGAGACATTTAGATTACATTTAAGCCCATATCTAGATTTTCACACTTTAAAAGACCCCATATACCCAATTTTTAAATTATGAATAGTTTCATGAGCCTTCGCTGACATTGCATTGACTTTGCATACATTGAATTTTCTCCATCTCCATGGGCTAAAAAAAAATGTAGGCAACCACACTGGCTCCTATAGCTTAATCATAAAAATAAAACAAGTTTATGTAAGAAGTATTTGCATTTCTTATATTATTGCATTTGGCCCGCGACCCTCACATCGATTTTAATGTTGGCCTTCTCAGTGAAAATGTTTGGGCATCCCTGGTTTAGAGCATTGAAAAAATGGCGGACACAGACTGTAGCGAACAATCCGATGTTTCTTTAGATTATTTTGAGTCACTTTCAAAGCGAGATGAAGACTAGTCAGAGTTCAAATAATATAACTTCAATAAACAAAGACCACAGAGGTCTCTTTCTTAAATAGTTCCCCTTTGATGTCACTTCCTGTTTCACTTTGGCTGATCCAAGTTCAAAAGAAAATATGCCAGTTATGGGACCAAATGGGTAAAAATCATGTTTTATGCAAGGTTTCTAATATAAAAATGTGTTTTCTTTGACTGTTGTATTGGATTGATAGGCATGTCACAGGCACTTCAATGCTTTTTAGTTCATTTTGCTTGTACAGTGAGAAATTTCCAGTCTGTCTCCTTGGGCTTTAATATTAAAAATCTGTCTGAATGTCTGAGGTGGTGATGCAAAGAACAGCAGAGAGATGATCATTAGGATCTGTGTCTGAATTTGTTGAACTTTG